CACACACACGGTGCCTCTAGAGTCATTTTTTTTGTATCTTTCCTCAGAAAGACAGTGGCAATTTTCCATTTACAAGCATGCTTGTTACAAGACAATAAAAGATGATTCTACCACAGAAAGACTGTCTTCAGCAGCATTCTATCCTGAGTATTTCTGGCTTAGCTTGCTCACTGAGCAAGGACTGAGAGTCTTCCAGGGCTTCAGGGTAAAGCCCTGGGATTAGCAAATATCCCTTTATCATAACAGGTACCAACCAACCTCTCAGCTCCTTCCCTTTAAATGCTGATAAACCAAAACTGGAAATAATGTTCAGACCTCTGAACGCTGTTTGCTCATACTGGGGAGAGAAGGTATATATATATCTTAGACAATGATCAGTGATTGCTGCATACTTTCTTCTTAAGAACTACAACAGGGGCTGGGAAGGTGGCTCAGTGGTAGAGCGCTTGCATGCATGAGGCCCTGGGTTCAATTCCTCAGAACCACATAAGCAAAAATAAAAAAAACCGGAAGTGGTGCTGTTGCTCAAGTGGTAGAGCGCTGGCCTTGAGCTGAAGAGCTGAGAGACAGTGCCCAGGCCCAGAGTTCAGGCCCCACAACCAGACTCCCCCCCCAAAAAAAGAACTACAACAGCACTCTATATTAAGAATTATGTATAACTATTAATAATCTGAGAATATTGAAGACGTGGATTTAAAATGCATTTTTAATGGCTTTTTTAGTGTTGTTGTGGTTGTTGGTGGTAGTCGTGGGGCTTGAACTCTGGGCTTGGCACTGTCCCTGAGCTCTTCAGCTTAAGTTAAGTGCTCTACCACTTGAGCCACAATGCCACTTCCAGGATTCCCAGAGTTAATTGGAGATAAGAGTCTCACACCTGTAATCCTAGCTATTCAGGAGGCTGAGATCTGAGGATCAAGGTTCAAAGCCAATCCGGGCAAGAAAGTCTGCCAGACTCTTATGGCACTGTGGCTTAAGTGGTAGAGCGCTAGCCTTGAGCTAAAGTGCTGAGGGACAGCACCCAGGCACAGAGTTCAAGCCCCATGACCAACAAAAACCAAAAATCAAACAAAAGCACCAACATTTAGCCTAGCTACTTAGGGGGCTAAGATCTGAGGATTGTGGTCTGAAGCCAGCCCAGGCAGGGTAGTCTGAGATTCCTATCCCCTGTTAACAACTAAAAAGCCAGAAGTGGAGTTGTAGCTCAAGTAGTGGAGCACTAGCCTTCAGCACAAAAGCTCAGGGACCCCCAGGCCCTGAGTTTAAGTCCCAGAAGCTACATAAAAAAAACCATTTTTCAGAACAAGCTTTCTGTCAGGTGCTGGTGCCATTCTTACCAGATTGTCAAGCATCCGCATGAGGGCTTCAAATTCCTGCTCCCCAATCAGCCACCGGGGTGATGAGTTGGTGCCATCCCCTTCCGGAGACTCTGGGGGACGGGGCTTGGCCCTGTACTTCTCAGGATCCAGCAAGACCAGGTTGTCTGGTCCTCCAGCACTGGCCAGAGTGCGAACCTTTTCAAAACAAGCAAACAGTAGGGCTCAGTTCCACATGGAGATGGAGAGGTACTCTGTGGGTTTCTTTTTTTTTTTTTT